CGTCGAAGTCTTCGGAATCGCACTCCAGTAGTTAAAGTTCTCTATCTTGCTCACTGCCTAAGTTTGCTGCACAAGAAAAGGTAACCTTTCTCCCTCCGCTACATTCTATTCGTTTTCTTCTATATCTCGTTGTGTTGCTTGACATTGGTTATCGTTGGATCGGTATTCATCCTAAGCGGGAATGTATATATGTATTCTTAAGTCGCTTCTATGGGTTTCTTATAATATTGATTACAAGGTTTCGTTTGTTTGGGATATAAATTTTAAAAGATGTATTTTCCAATGGTTTACTTTGCTCCCTAGTTGAGTTTCTGGGAGTATTAGATTAAGGTATGTTGCAGTGTGTATATTGGGTCCATTTTCTATGATAAGGGAACATATGATTAGAAGGAATCTTCTTTTGACTTATGTCGATTGATTTGCCTTTTGTTCTTGAGTTATATGAGTTTGGTCTATAGTATAAAATGTGAATAAGATTAGTCGTCGACTATGTTAGTGTATATTTCTTGTGAGATTGTTATATGTTTGTAGTGTTGCTGCTGATATTGACAAAAGCGAACGCGGTTCTTAATACTTGCGTATGCCATTGTGTTAATACATTTTGTTTAGTTTGTGAAACAGTGTGATATTTTGCCATATCTAGTCACCGTTTCTCGTGGATGGCCCCAAAGTGCAAGTGTTTGGCTCCAGAGTTAATTAGCTCCAAATTGTGTTGTTCTACCCGTTCACTGTAAGCTGCATTTTTAAGAGAGAAGATGGATTACTTAAATGATAACCTTGCCTCTTAGGCCCCTGCCTTTATTCAACCCCGTGTTCTCATAGTTATTTCCTGTCGGTCGATTGCCATAGTTTTCATTCTTATTTTATTTGCTTTGGTTAGTCGCGTGGGCAATCCTTTTCTCTTTTGATCGTGTAGATGTAGGGGCTCTAAAATAAATTGATGTATGTGTTTGTATGGCAGTGGGAGATTGAAACAATAGCAATTCATCAAGTTTCCTTAATATATCTATCTAATTGTTTATGTAGTCTCAATTTCCTATTTGTTTATTTACCTATTTATATTTCTGCTTGAGCCAAAAGATGGTTATCGGATCAAGAATGTAAGGTGTCCCTACTTTTTCAGGGTAAGAAGGGGTAGATAAAATGCCTCGAGCCAATGTCCGAATACCAGGCTCTACGGCGCTGAAGTAACCCATGTCATACTCCCACGAAAGTTCTGACCTCAATATTGGCTAGCACCACCACTTTCTCTATATTTCCAACTACATAAACATAGACTCCAAAGTCTAACTCTCTCTAGTCAAAGAACACTTTGATATTCCAGAAAAATCCGAACAGTCCACGCTAACTGTCTTCCGGTTTAATGTGTCTTCCACCATATTAGCCGTACCCGAGTGCTACTGAATGGTCACATCATAATTCTTGAGAAACTACATCCATCTCCTATATGTATAGTTTAGACCTTTCTTAGTAAACACATGTTGGAGACTACGATGATCAATGAATACCTCACACTAACGCCATATAGATAATGCATCTAGTTCTTGAGAGAAAACACCACTGCCACCAGCTCCAATTCATGGGTGGGGTAATTCCTCTCATGAACCTTCAACTTTTTGGAATCACAATCTATGGCATCCTTTTCATGTATCAACCCAACAAACAAACTCAAATGTGAAGCATCATAATAAACAATGATGTCATAATCTTCTAACAGCAAGGTGAAGATCAGCGTTGTAGTCAAAAGATCCTTGTGCTTTTGAACGATTTCTAAAGGTACCTCCTTTTTATTCAACATTGTCGTGTTCAAAAATAGAAGCAAAGTTCTTCATAGACCTGCGATAATAGACTCAATGCAAAGAGACTACACTATGTCCTATGTGGGTATTCCAGGAAGATCGGTGGGAAACACCTCTAGAACCCATAAATCCCAGGGATAGACTCAATGCAAAGAGACTACACTAAATATCTTAAATATGAGCCAATTATTCTAAACCATCCTGCCATACAAGTTTGCTATCCTAATGGAATGATATGATCTTCAATGGTTTAGGCTTGTACACGTCTTCCCACTCCAACCTTTCCCTCCTTGGTATCTCCAGAGTCACTATCTTAGCATTACAATTTAGTGCAGCAAAATAGGGGGATAGTTAAGTCACACCCAATTGGATTCTTTAAGAATTCACAATATAATTTAAACTTCAACTGAATTTGTTAAAAGTGCAGTAAATTTTGAATATGTATGTTTTATAATAAGTAAATGATTCAAAATTGATGGCATTATACTAAGAGTTAAAAAGTTATTCTTCCTAGTAGAAAAAAGTGATAAAGTTCAAGCATGATAGGATTCCTAAATAAGAAAATTTCTTCCTAATTAACTAAAGTATTTTTTTTCAAAATAAGATTATAATTTTAGTTTAATGAGTTTGATAAATTATATAAGTCTATCCTAAAAAGAATGAGTTTTAATGACATAACATGTCAGTTAGGATAGAAGGAGACTTTTGAAGTGTTAAATATTTTTTTAGGAGAATAATAATTGTGTAATATTTTGATCCTAAATAAAATAAAAAAATGATATATGAATATAATTTTTAATGCTTGAGTGAGTGGCCATTTAAGAAATTAACTCTCTTTATTGGCATGATCAACCCAGTCCTGGGGTTGGCAAAATCAAACCCAACCATTTAAGTTTAGGCGGGTTGTTGACACGTCTATTCATGAGTTCAATCCATTTCAACCCATTAAAAGTTAAATTAATATGTTGCCCTAATTGACTTGTGAAAATTTTGTCAAAATATTTTTATAAAGTTTTGATTCAAATATGATATGTTATATATAGCCATAATAAAGAAAAATAATAATTTTATAATTAGGTACTAAAATATATTAAAAGGCCAAGTAAACAATTTAACTAAGTAAATATTGGGTTGGATATTGACTCAATATATAACTCATAACCTAACCAATTTTGACCCAAGCAAATTTGTGTTTGATTTGATCTTGACTCAGTTATTGTCTTAACTCATTATAATTTGTCCAAATTTCACCCAATCTGCCTAATTGTCACCCATATCGAGGCCCTAGGTGGTAAATATTGGTCATTTAAATCACTAAGAGGCTGTTTGGTTACTGTTAGAGTTATGCAGGTATTAGCTATGTAGGGTTTAATTATGCATGTATTAGTTATGCAATGTTTATTTATGCAGGCATTAGTAATGCAGGTATTAGCTATGCAGGGTTTAGTTATGTAGGCATTAGTTATAGAGTATTTAGAGATTAAAATACATGAATTATTAACTATAGAATATTAAACTTGTTGTAAATTATTAATATATATTATTTACAAAATAATAATACATGCTAATAAAATGTGAAATATATTGAATAATGTATAATGCTAATATTTGATTAGCATATGTACCGTTAAAAACATACAATCAATTTCTAATATTAAAAAAATATTTATATTTGCATAAATCAATCAAAATGGTAAATATATAAAAAGAAATGAAAATAATCTATATATAATAAGAAATAAAAACAACACACATTTGATAGAAAACAATCAAGTTTTTCAATTAAAAAATAAATAAAAATAATCTAAATATAAAAAAGAAATAAAAACAACAGACTTTTATATATATAGGAAAATAATAAAGTTTTCAATTAAAAACAATAAAATAAATTAAAAGGGTAAATATGTAATTTATCACTTTAATATATGTATAACTAATACCACATAACTTATTCCACCTTTCTACCCTGCTTAACTTTATACATAGATTTCCTCATAAGTTATGTTGGTATTAATTATGTAGAACTATAAAAATGGAACCAAACATGGTATAAGTTATGTTGATTTTTCTACCTAAATAAAAATTTCTACCAAACATAATATAACTTAATATATTATTTTATACATAAATAAGATATCTATTATAGCGTTACCAAACGGTACCTAAGTGTATATCATCCACTTGTCAGGTTAAGCTCACCAAGAGAAGTGGAAAGTAAAGTCTTTGATTTACTTTAAAATATGTAGTGCCTATATAATCAAGACAACCAAAAAGAAAAGATACTACTATGCTATTTTAGAAGGAAGAAAGCAAAGTAGATAATGACAGAGAGCGAATACACATACGCAAAACTTCTCATGGAAACTTCAACATAGAAAAAGACGTTGAAAGGTTTATCAAGTTGTGATGCAGAATATACCCTAGCTACCATAGCTTTGTTTTATATCACGAATTCAAAAGTAGTGTTTAATACAAGGGACAAGGACAAATTAATTTTTAGAGTAGAAATTGTGAGAATATTAGTGTTGTATGATTAGTTAGATTGTACATATCATAAAAGTTGGTGATGGAAACAATAACTTTGAAAGAGTCATGCATGCTCTTCGCCACCATTTTATGAAATAAAATTATGATTAGGTTATTTTGACCCTGACATTTTGTCTGATTTAAAACGCTTCCTAGTTCCTTGTAAATTTAACTATTGTGCCATGAATTATAAAGTTTGACCAAAAAAGCACTAGTTAAATTGTTTGCTTGGAAGTCGAAACTAACAGCAAACTATTTTGGTAAGAAAGAAGTTGCAAAAGATGGGTAGGAACGTATGAGGCTAAAATGATTTACTATTTACTAAAAGTGATTACAATAACCATTCCAACATTGATAACAAAGACTTCCTAATTTTTGTATAGCAGACAATTGATGGGTGGATTATAATATATACACACACATACATACAGACACTACCTTACAATTGATTGATTAGTAGGCTTCCAGGTACTTGTTGAATCCTCCATCTGATGCTGATGATCGGCTAGTGAGGGCAGGTCTCATTGCAACAATGGCACTCTCATTCGCTCCAGTTCTCAGAGCAGCGCTACCAGCTTCCAAGAACCTATTGACTGCATCATCTACGTATTCATCAGCTTCACGGACACTCATCTTCCGTCCAATATCAGCGTAGTTTTTCAGAACATGGTCTCCATTAAGCTGTGAAGCAAGCTGGATCAGTTCTATTTGAAATTCAGAGAGCTTTGCATCTTCTCTTGGTCCCCATGGTCTTAGATTTATCATCACCTCCGAAAGTTTCTCTGCATATATCATATCCATCAAATGATTAGGATTAATCTGCCTCTTAAACGGGTGATAGCTCTTATTTAATATGAAGAATTGGAATTGGAGAGGCGATGGGTCAAGGGTACCCCCTAACATAGGAAAAAATGTATGTAAATATTTCTCTGTTGGCACCCTTAGCAACAAAGTGGTTCCACCGGTTGATTTGGGGTGCACGGGTAGACATTAAGTGGGCTTACCTGGGTTCGATTCCCACTTCGCTCAAGAAAATAATTAAGCCACACATGGAAGGGCACATTGCAGAACTAAAATAATCATGTTCTCTCTCTACCCACTTAAGTTTTTAAATGAAGTGGTTTTACACAATTCAGCATAGAATACAGTACAGACATGCTGGGAAAATCCAACCTTCGGCTATATCACATTACATATGTTCTACCATATTCAGGCCAGCACTCGTCAAAGATATGCACTCAATTCTTCTTCATTCCTACCGTCTGAATGTCATAACAGATCCTATCTGTTTTATTAAACTATACAATAGAACAAAGCACAGTAGTAGCTTTTACCAATACGAAAGATCCCATTGCTCTAAATGATGAAATAGAATTACAACTCATGCATGAGTCGGAGCAGCTAAAGTGAAGTAAGGATCAAAAGAAGATCCTATTGAAGACAGGACAACGAGTTCCTGAGGGAGCCAACAGAGTTCCACAAGGACATGTTAATCCAGCTCATCTAGCAAAAAAGTATATGTTCGCTTACAATTATGACAGGCTTGAGGAAAGAAGTATTTGATAGTAATAGTAATCACAGCAGACAGCACCTTCAAACTACTAATAAGCCCCTTGCAATAGAATATCTCCACCATATGCATTTGAAGAAATTTAGATAGAGTACTTTTACTAATAAAGTATTTCCTAAAGCATCAGCATCTAAAAGCAGACCATATGCCCTGGATGTACTCTCCGTCTTATAAGTAACTATCAGTCACTTCTGTATGAACATAGAATTTTTAGTATTAAGCATGCAATAACGGAGAAATCAGCTAACTATTTGTTCATGGTTTGCTGAAGTTGTATGCATACAAACCTGGACAATCATCACGAGGAGTCTTACGCAAGCGGAAATAGTTCTCAAATGTCCCAGCCCATGCGTCTCGCTTGGTTAAGAAACTTGATTTCAGATTAAAAAGCTTTTTCACAGTTGCTGGTATGGAAGAATGCTCAAATTGTGAAGACGTAGTTGGACCTTTCGGCTCATGGATCACTGCAGCAAACATTTAATCAGGTATATATGTTAAACATTCCAATCCACCAGCACCAATATGTAGACAAGGATTTTAGAAAAATAAAGGGGAAGGTAAGAAAGATAAATTTAGTATTATAACATTAATGACTTATCAACTATGAAAGAGATAAACTTAGTGAGCTTCTCAATTGATACAGAAAAATACTAATTAAATTTCCGGAGGCATGAACATAATAACTAAGACAGTAGCATTCATATATTCCTTTTCTTTTTTTGGCTTTGTAAGCTTATATTTAGATGTGCTCTCCAGTACCGAAAGAGGGCATCTGTACATAAAACTGTGTAAGTCTGCAGCTTTTCAGGCTAACTTTTGTCTAAATCATCTATGCCAAATCAGTAAGCCCATATTTATCTCAGGATATTCCTGTACAGTTGTAGTTTAACTCAATATATCTAGTTATAGCTACAATTCCAGACAACATATGTAGTAATAGCTACAATTCCAGACATGTAGCAATGAGCTTAACTATAGAATTTACGATTTTTATATCAAAGAATCCTGAAAACACCCTAGCGAGTTGTCTTTTGAAATGAAACAAGTAAGTTGTATGTACATATATATATAAAGGAGAAGATGAGTGACTCACCAGTGGCCTTGTCAATCCATGGTGAAATCAAGAAGGTGGGGACACGAACCCCCAAGCGGTCAAATCTGAAGTAATATGGTGGAGGCCCGATAATGCCATCAGGATTAGGCACACCAGAAACAGGAGTTGGTACATGATCAAAGAAGCCACCATGTTCGTCATATGTAATCAAGAGTGCCATTTCTTTCCACTGTGGACTTGCCCTCAATGTCTCATACACCTCCTTAACAAATTTTTGTCCAAGTGCTACATCGTGTGATGGATGATCATCATTTGCTGGGTCAATTTTAACATCGAAATATCTCTGTTCAATCACAACGTAATTTGGAAGTTTGCCAAGTTTAGCGTGTATTTTGAACGTTAATGCATAATTATGGAACTTAAAAATGTGTTTTAGTTTTCTGAGTGACTTGAAAAATAAGGTAGCTGGAATGTTTTGGTAATAAATTCCAAATGAAAGGCCATTTTCGTCCAAAGAATCAAATATAGTCTTTTGAGGGAACCCATGGATCAAGTCTTTACGGACATTGCTGGAAGCTCCGTGAGAAGTTGCCGAGTGAACGTAAAACCGATTCGGCTGAGTTGAAGCTGGAACCGACGCGAACCACCGGTCAAAAACCCCAAACTCATTCGCTAAATCAGTGTAAACCGGTAATAACTCCGGTTTAAACCCGCTCATCACGGTCTGCTCCATACCAGGTACCCCCATACTAACAGCCTGTTGCACGAACCCGTTCATCGGAGCTGGGTTTGCTGAAGAATCATTCGACCCGAATATCTGCTCCCCAATAGCTTGAATAGAGTGACCTGGATCAGAATCAACGAATACAGCATCATACGAGACAAAGATTTTGGAAGAATAAGGGTCTGAAGCATTAACCCTGTTAAACTCCGACCCCTTAAGCCCATCAATATCGGGTCGGCTCTTATGGAGCCAACCCAGAATATGATCAAAAGACCGGTTTTCCATCACCAAAATGACAAGAGTTTTGATGGGTCCGTTGAATTTGTGTTGCTTGGGCTTCACAAACGGAAAGGAAAAGGAAACGCAAGTGGATGAAAGCAGGTAAAGTATAAAGAACAAACCCAAGCGGCTCGCTGGGAAAAGGATTTTCCGATGGCCCATTGCCGGCGATTTGATTTGAAAATCCGGGGCTGGTAGTTGAGAATCGCCTTGGCGGAATAGTCAAGACTTGTATACAAGTGCTAGTCTTGCAAAATGGCATCTCAGGTGAGAACAGGCCATTTAAGAATCCTATCTCACTATTTCTCGTTTATTTTAATTTTTCCTTCACTTTTATACTCTCTTTGTCAAATTTATTTGAAAGGTCAAACAACATTATCTCATACACCCTTCAAGTATTCTTAAATTACAATTTATTTTAGCACATTAGATTGATAAATATTACTTAAGTTTCTGTGTGACATTTAAAGCAATACTTTCACATAAACATAGAACGGCCAATTGTTATCTTTAAGGAGAGGAGAGTAAATACTGAAATAGCGAGAGAAAAGGGGAGTGAATTACAAGGTTTAAAATACAATTTTTATCAACAAAGTAAAAGTGTAGGTAGGTAACTAATTCAGTTATTGAGGTTACTGTATTGAAAAAGTAAATGAAGTGAACTTGTTACAAAAAGAACTGTTGTGACCAATTATTGCATCCATTTGCACACGCAAGTGCACGTGGTCGCAGAAGTAATAGATTATTCTTTTACAATCGAGTTGTCAGATCCAAAGACCACAATCTAAAGAAAGTGTCTTTAAGAACTTGTGTTTTCTATGATACTACTGAGAGAAATTCAATTATAAAAATAACTAATAACGAAAATTTCAATTTTGGTGATTTAAACAAATGAGGGACAATTTCAGGATTGCATGCTTAAAGTTTCATGTAGTGACAAATCTAAAGGTAAATATTAAAGTTAGGGCACCAGATGCCGTGGTCTTTTCATAAAATTAGCTATTTTATGTATATATTTTTTAAAATTTGGTATATTATTATATTTTGGCCCTATACTATAAAAAGTGTATCTGGTTCACATGGTTAAAAGTTGAGCTTTTGTCCTTGAGGATGAAGAATCAATTCTCACTTAATACATTATTCTTGGTGTATTCATGTTCGAATTGATTCCCACTTAATACATTTTCTTGGGTGCACCCATGCTTGAAAAATCCTAGATTCGCCTCTAGTTTCATTTATCACATTCATGCATGGGTTAACTATGATTATCAAATACTGATTTACAGGGTTAATTTTATGATCGTAATCTCTCGACATCTGATCACATATTCCAATTGAGTGTCTAACTACATTGTTGAGCGGGGATAGACATGTCGAATTGATGATCTTTTACATTTCATCCTATTTCGTAACCAAGCTCGATGTTCATTCAGATATCATTCATAAACACGAATCTAAATAGGTGATATGCAAGAAAGATTGAGCTCTTTTTATTCCTTGGTGTATCTACCTCTCTGTCTCCCGAGTTCAAAAATAAATAGTATAGCTATCTCAATGATGATCAAGCATTAAATACTAAAATAAGAATACAAAACTAACTTAAGTGATGATCAAAATTAGTTCATAACAATCAATGTTCAACAATTAACCGTAATTATAGCCCCAGAACAAAGGATTTTATTCACTAATAATATTTTATTCACTAATTGTTATGCCTCGTATTTTTTTTATACGTAGTGAGCATCATGATCTAGTAGACGTAAGTCCGGGGGATGAGATTTTATTTTAAGTTCCAAGTGATTAAAGAAATATTAAGCAAGGATGTTAATTCCAAATGTGATATTAAGTATGATTTGGCTAATGTAAGTGTCATTGACTTTAAGTGAGAGATTAATTAGTGACTGATTTGGATTAATTTAATCCAATGGGCCCCACCACTCATAATGGTGGCTGATTAGGATTAATTTAATCCAGTGGGCCCCACCACTCAAGGCAAAAAATTAAAAAAAGATCAGATTGTGAGCTGACCTTAGTGGACAGGTGTAGAGGGGGGCTGCCTCCACTTCATACTATTAAATGAGGTGGAGAAATCCACTCTATGCTAGATAAAGTGGTGAAATGCATTGCTGCATATCATCTTCTTGTTCACCACCTGTTTTAGGCAGCCATGGAAATGGAGAAACCAACCCTGCAACTCTTGGCCAGCAGCTGCAAATAATTTGGTTAGTAATCTCCTTGTTTGGTGTGTTAATTATTTAGAATACCTTTGTTAATTATCCATTAATTTTAAGAAGGGGGCGTGATCAGTAGCTTAGGAAGTTTGTTTTAGTTATTGAATGTGCTAAGTATGAACGGAAACCATAATCGGATTATTAGTGGTGTCGTGTTGGTGCTTGGGCTGTTTTGATTAAAGCAAACTGCGGGAAAATTCTGTTTTGGCATTATGTATATGTTAAATGTTATTATGAGTATATACTCCAAAAGATGAATACGATAAGGTAGATGTGTTGCGAATTATAAAACGAGTTATCGCTTGGTGTGTCGTTGCTTCGCTGCTATGGTTGCCGAGACGGAACTGTTTTGGGGAGGGGACTATTTAATATGATTCATTGGGTTATATGTGTTATTGGTATTGCTGTGATACTTACCTCTAGAGCGTCTAGGTGATGAATATTCTTGTTTCCACAATTATTCCTCTATATATCGGCTATGTCTAAGGCTATGATGATCTCTCATATCTATGGTAGTGCTTCTTAGAGTCATTGAGATTTTATGTTTTCATATCGTATTAAAGGTTCATAATCTTGATAAAACATTAATCTTTGGTAATACTCCTTGCTGGTTCACGTTGTTTGTTCTATTGAGTTATAAGAAATGATTTTAATTGCATATGGTTGCTCATAATATTCTGCTCGTACATAGAGTCATTTATCATTTCACCGAGTCCCGGGCCGGGTAATGTTCGTGCGGAGTTTCTTGCATATGTCACCGAGTTCCTCACTAGAGGGCCGAGTATGTATATTATATATATGATTGGTGATGAGGATGGTTATGATGATGATGATGACGGAGATAACGTGATGATTATTTTGCCGAGCCCCTTACTAGGGAAGCTGGGCACCTTATATGTTAAATATATGCATGATTTTCACTTAAAATGGTATATGTGTAGCGATATTTTGTTTCGACTTGCCATATTTGTATCCGGTCATCTTTACCTTATGCTTTACATACTCAGTACATTGTCCGTACTGACCCCCCTTTCCTCGGGGGGCTGCGTTTCATGCCCGCAGGTGTAGACGCGCAGTTCGGTGATCCTCCCGCCTAGGATATCTACTCTGCTGATTGGGAGAGCTCCACTGTTTCGGAGCCCAGTCGTTTTGGTACATAACGTTTTGTGTAGTCTTTTGCTCGTCTATGGGTACGGCAGGGCCCTGTCCCGTCGAGTTTCACTACTGTACTCTTAGAGGTCTGTGGATATTATGTGGGTTGTATATATATGTTTTGGGTAATGGTCTGGACATGGTTTGTTTGGGATGTCCGCTTGTACAGGGGCAGCCTTGTCGGCTGCGTACATCATTGTGTATTGTGTAGTGGCAGCCTTGTCGGCTTACGTATGTTATTATGCTTTGAATAGTGGTGGCCTTGTCGGCTCGCGTATGTTGTTACGGTTGAATGGTTATGACTCCTTATGAGACAGGTCCTCTTTATATATATATATGACGTTGGGGTTGGCTTGATTTGATTAAATTCCATATTGTCTTAGTTTCAGTTGGTTATACTTAGCAGGTTTGTATGTGGGTGTCCAAAACGGGCACTAGTCACGGCCCATCGGATTGGGTCGTGACAAAGAGTGGTATCAGAGCGGTTCTTCCTCGGAAGTGTCTACAGACCGTGTCTAGTAGAATCTTGTTTATCGGTGTGTTGTGCACCACATCTATAAACAGGAAGCTACAGGACATTTAGGATGTCATCCTTTCTTCTTATTCTAGATCGTGCGGTAGAGCTATATTAATAGGATAATCCTTCTCTAACGAATCTGTGTGTTTTCAGATATGCCTCCAAAGAAAGCGACAGCCGCCCAGAAGGGAAAATCAGTATAAGAAGGTACTAGTCAGACCCGGAGAGTTACTAGGGCCCGTGCCCAGTCTACGCCTGGTATTATGCTGCAGTCAAAGAGCTCTGTTACACCGCCACCGCCAGAGGAGCTTAGAGCAGCACCAGCTCCAGTTTGGGGGACAGAACCAGCCCCCTAGGCCCCAACACCTGAACCTCCAGCTCCTCAGTCAGGGGCGGAGGATAGGGCCATGAGAGATGCGGTTCAATTGCTGACTAGATTAGTGGCAGATCAGGCTCGCAGGCATGGACTAGGGAGTTGATCATGCGGATAGATCTGATAGCTTAAGGGCTCGTGACTTCTTAAGTTGTAATCCTCCAGAGTTCTTTGGGTCAAGGCCCCAGGATTATCCGCAAGAGTTTATTCGTTAGATGCAGCGTACATTGAGGATAATCAAGGCTTCATAGACCGAGTCTATTGAGTTGGCTACGTATCGTTTGCGGGATGTAGCTATTGATTGGTATGAGTCTTGGGAGTTATCTAGGGGTGAGGGTGCAGTCTCAGCAGCATGTTAGATTTTCTTCCCAACCAGCATAGAGTGCACCCCCACGTTTCATGGGTAGGGGGTTCGATCGTATGGGATATTCGGAAGCTGGTCAGAGCTCTAGGGCGTCAGGGTCACAGATGGGCAGGGGTTTGAGCCAGTCGAGGCCACCTTTGCCTCGGTGTTCTCGCTGTCATAAGTCCCATCCTGGGGAATGTCGTTGGGCTACAGGTGCGTATTTTTCTTGCGGCCGTCAGGGCCATACTATGAGGAAGTGTCACCTTAGAGGTAGTGCAGGTGGTATGGCACAGCCTACATGGTCCGTTGCTGGTTCATCTTCTTCTGTGGCTATCCACCCTACGGGGCAGGGTATTCAGGCGCCAGCAGGCCGTGGTAGAAGACGTGGTGGAGCTTCCAGTTCTAGCGGTTCCTCGAACCGTATATATGCTTTGACTAATAGGCAGGATTAGGAGGCGTCACCTAATGTGATCACAGGTATATTATCACTATTCTCTCGAAGTGTGTATGCATTGATAGACCCAGGTTCCACCTTATCATTTATATCTCCCTTTGTTGCTAGTAGGATCGGAATAGAGTCTGAGTTGATAGAACCATTTGAGGTAGCTACACCTGTAGGAGATTTTGTCATAGCTACGCGAGTATATAGGAATTGTTCAGTAGTTATATATAGTCGTTGTACCGTAAAGATCTAATAGAGTTAAATATGATTGAGTTTGATA